ACCACACTATTTCCTTTTTTTGACGCCAAATCGCGGGTGTGGTAAGCGGACCGTTGCCACCCAATTACCTGCCCCGAAAATATCCAATGCAGGAAATGAAGTGGAAGGAAATATCAAACATGAAGTGGAAGGAAATATCAACTAGCTGAAGAAGGAAATGAGCGGTAGGTGCCAGCTGGCTCTACCTCTTCGGAACACACACCGCATCCCATTTCCTTGATTTTGGATGTATTTGACCTGATTTCACACAGCAGCTTAATGTCCCATCGGTGTTTTCGCCGTCACTCTAGACTCTAAAGGGCTGAACGCCTTAGTGTGCCGAGCAGTGGGCAGTGAGCCCTCTGGTAATACAGCGAGCTGATTGCGCCAATCCCTCCCAAACAAGCAAAGAACAGCGAAGAGAGGCAAAAAGGTGCCTTTTCACAGTTGGCACTGCGGCGCACTACCAAAGTTTAGACCGCACAGGGTGACAGGTACATGGAAAGCCCAGGGTCTAAGTCTCTAACAATAAGCCCTTCGTCGCTCTGATCACCATAGCAGAGTGAAACCACCTACAATCCTCACTGAACTCAACGACGCCTAAAGTATTTGCGTCAACCTGAAACAACGGCATGAGTTTTATTGTTGAGTCACTCGTACATAGATTCCTGGAAACTGCCCCTCTGGTACGGGGAGACAGGTGTACCCGGAGTTTTGTATTTAGCCTTGATATTCCTTGCGCTCTTCGTTACTACAGTTGCGGGTTTTTCATGATCACAAGTGAAGTTCTCAAGTGCCCTGGGTTGCCGACAAGTCGGTGTGCTTTGAAAATGCAATGATTGAGAGCATTGTCCTACATTTGTGTGCAGTCACAGTGTTCACCTATCTCATCATTTTCGTGGTGAAAGGGTTTCAGGAATGAGCTCCGTAGGGAGTGTCTTTGTTCCACTTTCCCCCATCAGTAAGTGCGTTCAAAAAAGGCAACTTTAGAAACAAGAGGTAGAATGAGGGCTCACTATACTCGCGAAACGCAAAACGGTCTCAGCTGCTAAATAGAAGATCATATTTTGTCGCCAAAAAAATCCTAATTTTTATTTTTCTCGCTTCGCGTGCACTACATATTCCTGTATTTCCCTCTAGTCCCTCTAGTTGGCGGCGTAGCAAAAGTTCTATCTCTGATAGTTGATGGTAGGTGTCCACTCCCTCCTCCCTGCCCCTATCCGCTCGCTCCACGCTGAATTTCTGGGACTGTTGGCAGATAGAATGGAAATGGTGGTCAAATAAGAGGGGCAAACTTGGGACAAACTTCTCCACAACATTCTGGTGTGTCCTTGCTAGGTTTAAAACATCACTTAGATCTCTTTGGTAATCTTTCTTCCCTTAGGTTGCAGAAAGAATTGTAGAAAGTTCTCATAAGCACCGTTTTGAGGACGATGTCGAGGGCTTAGAAGGTGCGCGTTTTGGGTTCTTCGGATTGGATTCTTATAAAAAACACTGATCCTGGAGGAACTATTATGTAGTTCGTGCGGACGGTTGGCCGTCGCCAGGCGAGGGTGAGTTTGGCGAGTCCGGATCGTTCTCCACCAGTTGTTAAAGCCAGAAATTGGATATGATTTGTATCATATTTTCATATTACTCGTTTTCTAACACTTTTTGTTGCGTGCACGCTTCACAAGAAGGCAGAGAACGGCTTTGACGGGGTGACACACTCATACTGCCTGACACGCCCAACGTCCGAAGCGAACTAGAGTTTATAACATCCTCTGAAGCTTCCACCTAGCTTAAAGGCATTTTCCATGACAATTTCCTTTTTTTCCTAAGGTTCAAATGAGCTTCTCTGACTTATCAGCTTTGCGAACCCGGGATCGTTTTCGTCGCATTCAAGTTACTAGAGTAAATAAAAAACCTTGGTCAATTGAAGGAACAGCCCACGCCGATTTTGTGGGAGAAGTCAGGCTTACCATTTTGAGCCATTTTACCACTGAAAAGGATTTGCTAAAAATACTTGGCAAAAAAATTGGTAGGCCGACTGCGCCCACACTGCCAGCGCGTCTATGTTTCAGGTTCTACCTACGCCCTGGGTGACAACCTTACCAAGCCTCTTCCTCCACACTTATTATACCCACGACAGCTGAAATTTCTGTTCTACTTATTAGCAAGGTACACTAATTAACCAACAGAAACAATAAAAGTTACAGGCTTTATGGTACTCACCTGCTTGGACAGATTAGCGGTGGGCAAGGCTTCGTCTTCAAAGGCGGCCGTTTCCGATCCGCACAAAGCCTTTCCGGCACTACCCGTCCAGTGTTCGCATTCACACAAACGACAATCGCTCGTGACACGCGGTCATTATCCAGTTTACCGCTGTGGAATTCTTGAGCTGCCTCCGTGCACGAAGTAGCACACTCGGTGAATTCACCTAAAGCTATTCATGTTTTCGCGCGTTCACACTTCGCGACATGAGCGACTCAGTCGCACGACTTGGAATCGCACGACCCTGCTCCTCAATCGATGCATCTTTGTAGGTGTCAGAAAAAGTTTTATACTAAATGTTTTTCAGTCGTTGGTTGCACAGGTCCAACGATTAGCGATGGAGCGCGGTCAGACGCAATCGCGCGAATAAATCGCTTTAGCGGCGAAGTATGAACGCGGCCTCAGAGATGATCTTTGCGTAACTTACCCGATTCTTTCCACACGAAATGTGCACTATCGCAACTGTCACCGCGACCACCGCACACGCCACAAACGTCGAATCGCAGGGATGATCCGATGACGTTGTCACAGCCGACTACCTGAAGCACTTTCTCGATTAGTGAAGGACTAACACATGTGTTTCATCAACGGTTTTCTCTGCTGTGTCATTATCTT